GCAGGTCCGAGGCTCCGGCAGCTGCTGGAAACCACTCACAATTCCTTCGGGCAACAAAATGGCAAAATGACTGGCGTAAAGTTATGTTTTTGAGAAAACGTATCTTTGTATTTTAGGAGGTGGTATTTTGAATATTCAAAATATTCAAGGTATTCTGCTTAAAAAAAAAAAAAAAGCTGCAGATAACGAAACCCTTTTTGTTTTCTTTTTAGTGCTGCATGACTGAAGTATGAATTTTTTTTACAACTATCTGAATAAAACTCTGTGTTCAGACAAGCCAAACAAAATCATTTCCATCTCACTACTTCTCCATCCAGCCCTTGTAGTGAGCACAGCCTTCGCAGCGTTCCTGGTGAGCGCTGAGCCCTGCCCGGCTCTGGCAGAGGGGGCTTCATCTGCCTGCGGGGACTGAGCCCGCAGGGACCGACGGCCAGAGAAACCGCTCTGATCTCTGAGCCACAGTAATTTATTGTTTTAAATTATCTTTTAAATGCATTAGCATTTCTTTTAGGAACAAACACATCTGAATTGAGCAATTTTAAATCTGATAATGTTTTCAGCAGCTCACACATAAAAGCTGCCATTTACATTTTGCTGTGGAAAATATTCTTTCTCCCTCCCTGTTATGCTCACACTTAAAGGTGTGGACTTACATGAAAAGATGTTGACACCAAATATGGGATATTTCAGCCTAGTGCAATAAGCTCTGGATATTTTAGCGTAACAGAAATCCTCACTGTATTTTGTCTCCTTTCTACGATAGCCGCCCCAGCGCTGCCATAGATGTGTCAATGGGGTGTGTTCGACAGAAGCAGGATAAAACTGAATGGGGCTTAGCCCAAACAAAACCAACGATCCCAGAGAGCCAGGATTTTGCAGGTGTGGAGCAAGACCTGAATTTTGCTACTCAGACACGCTTCTGATCCCTTTTTGTGGGAGATCAGAACTGGAACACAGTTGTGAGGAAATGTTTTCAACCAGCCCAGCTCGGTCCGGCTTTTCTTCTTGCTCTGGGGAGTCGCAACGTGGACAGAGGGGGTAACAAACCGCACAACACGCCAAGAACGCGACGGCTGTTTCCATCTTCTGTTTGGGACTTCTGCCTGCTTGCAAAGCAACCTTCCGGCCCCTCACGGAAGAATCGCTTTGATGCTCAGCGCTTCCAACTTGGCCTCGGAGCCCCTGCGTGCGTGACAGGGCGCAGCCCTGGGGACATGGGAGCGCCCGCTGGGCTTTGCCAGCGTCTGCCCGAGGAGGGAGGGCTCATCGGCGCATCGCTCGGCGCATCGCTCGGCGCATGGCACACACGGAGCCTGACAGCGGTTGCGAGAGCTGGGAGCCGGAGGGGGTGGAAGTCTGTCCTTGGTGCCGGGAAAAATCAGGCGGTGTACCTGGAGAGGTGCAGCCCAGCCTGGCAGAGCCAGCCGCGGGGCAGCGACTGCGGAGGGCACAGGTGTGAATACCGCCCGTCCTCTGCACGGCTGTACCTGTGGTGACTGAATGCGCTGCGACGCTCTGCGTTCAGAAAGAGACAGTGGGGGGATGACTCGGTGAAGGTCTAAATAGTCAGGATTAATCCAAAGATAACGAACGGGAGAGACTAGTTCACTGGTACTCATGTTACATGATCTGCGCACCCATGAAATTTTAAAATTCCATCACAGCTGCTACTAATGTAATAATAGCTTCCTAAAGCGTTTTTTCTTCCTATCAGGACTTTGCAATTTATAATGGAAATATTTTCAATATCACAGGTAACCACAGAAATAAAGGCCGTAGACATTGTTCTGTGTTTCATGGACTGAGCACAACTCATGCTTCCACCGAGTTCCTTTACAACTGTCACATATTTTCTCTGCAGATTAAGGATATAGAAGTCCTCAACTGTGAATATGGCAAGAACACAATTAAGTTCCTTCGCCTTCACAGAGAAGGGAAGAAGCACTTCGTTAAAGAAGTAGAAGTGTGCACGCATCTCCGGCTGACTTCTGCTCATGAGTACCTGGATGGAAACAACTCTCTTGTGATACCTACAGACACCATAAAGAATACTGTCCTTGTCCTGGCCAAAAAAAATGGGGTATTTTTAAATTTTTAACTAGCCTTGCTGTTTCTTATGACTTCATTTGGAAGTGTTTGTTATACTAACTTTTTATTTTCAAAATGCATCAGAAGACTCTCTCCCTCCATTGGCATGTCAGATTGGCAGTGAAGTCACCTTCAGTGATTTGGAAGAGAATTTTTGCTCCTCCAGTGCTTATCCTGGGGACTCCTCCTTAGTTTTCCAAAGCCTTTTTTTCTCACAGAGCTAGCAGTATTTTTTGTAGATTTGTCATATAAGATCCATCTTTTTTTTTTTTTTAATTTAACAGCACATTATACTGCATTATTCCTATACAGCACTTTTAAACAGAAGGTCTCAAAGTATGTGAGACCTCTTAATTCTGTTAACTGTGCTCTTCCCTCCCTCAGTTGCATCTATCGTAATGCCAATCTGTAGCCCAAATTCTCTGTCTTGGTAATGAAATCCAATCTTTAGCCTGTAAAGCTTAATCAGAATATCACTGTGATTATTTCAGCATTATGTCCTCAAAGCATAAGGCTTCTGTGGTCTCAGTCCAAGGACTGCAGCTCGCTATACCACAGAATGGGAGATTTTTGACGTGACTCCACAACTGCTATTTGCAGCGTATGCTGCAAGCTGATCAATGTCTAGGCACAGTGCAAAAAACCAGAAATGAGAAAAATATGTATTTTTTTAACAACGTTGATCCTTCCCAAATATTTACAACAACCAGAACAATCTACTTTTGTACACAAGGCAATTGCTTCTTTCTAATAATACTGTTTGTGTCTTAGATCCCCACTTTAGAACAATTTGCTATAGATATCTGCAAACACTTCATGACAACATTTTGCCAAGTGGCGTACGTCAAAACCTACGTTCAGGAAGTACCATGGCAACGTCTACACGAGGTAACTGAAATACCAGTACATTCAGTTTGTTTATGCTGGAACCATTTGTCACTCTCTTAGTTCCTGTTTTCAAGTGAAGATAGCATTTACTGCACTTTTACTTACAAGTCTGCTCTATGTTGCAGAATGGCGTTCCCCACATCCACTCGTTCATATGCGTTCCTGATGGCATCCGCTTTTGTGAAGCTGAGCAGTGCCGAAACGGTGAGAAAAAGAGTTTGCAACTTCCCCTACTTCTCTGTAAATATTTCGGCCGATGAGAGATGAAGATGGCTTTAGAGATAGCTCGAGGTGTTACAGGGCTTACACCACAGCCAAACCGCTCCAGAGGCCTAAACCAAAGAATACTTACATAGTCTAATTTTGCAGTCCTTGATCTCTGAGACGTGGCTGAAGAGCTAGCATAGCTCACATCTGTACATGTATCCTAAACGTATAATGGTTACAACAGCACATCCAGCAGGACTGCTATATGTTGTCACAGGGTTTAATAGCCTTCTGAGAAAAGCCTGCTTACTTTTTTACATTATACTATATTCTGCAGCCTCACTATTATCATCGCCCTATAGAGAATGTATCCTGAAACCACACTGCTGTAGGCCAATTGCCTTGTTTGCAGTTATTTTCAAAACCCTGTCAACGTGCCTTGGTTTTATTTCTAAGAAAGATGCAATTTCATTGCTCCAAGCCAGGCTGGCTTGAACGTCGCGAGCACTCAGGTCTACGTGCAAACAGTTTTTCACATGAAAATACTTCAGAGCGTGCTTACTATTTGTGCACACCACGCGTAAAGAAAGCACCGTTTGGCTTCACTAAGAGTTTTATGATACTTAAAAGACATGGGCTTTCAAGCTCAACTGTCTGTCCATAAATTGGCATTCCAAAGGGAATGTAAAAATTATCTCTTCTTGCTGTGACTCACAGCAAGAGTGTAAGTTCAATCCCACTGTGTTGGCATTTCACTTAACCCATCTCTCAGCCTACTGGGAACTGAGCTGAGACCACTACATCGTTCCACTCCGTGGGTCGAGAGGTTTTAGGCATTGGGTTGGTACCTATCTATTACTGCCCTAATGTAGCTTAGAACTATTCCCATCCTACCCTCTCTCTCCCCCTGTTTTCCTAACGTGCCTGGGTTAGGGCCAGCAGCAAGACCAGCTTCACTTGCAGACAGGACACAGGCTCTGAAAGGCGCATTCCAGCGTTGCCCCCCTGCTCCTGAAGAGCCCGTACAGGTCTCCAGTGCCTCTTGGCCTCATCTTTTTTAATGTTCCTAGTAATGTTGACTACTGCTGTATTTTGGGCAGCCTCAATAGTATTGACTTTCGTTTCTGGAAAATGATAAGAAAGAAACCTTAATATATATATAAAAAAAAAAAAAAAGAAAAGAGTTTATGCTTTCTTGAAAAGCTGCTGCTCTTAATGTACAGACTGAATTAAATTTTTCATCACCTTGAAAATTCAGCATGAAATTCTGCAATTTTGGGTTCTACACAAAGAAAAAGCCTTTAAGGCTTACTGAACCAACTGCCTTTCCTTCTTAGTCTTCCCTTCATGTAGCCCTTTAGCTGTTTCTTTAGGATTCCCTGCCTAGGTGAACAATAACCAAAGAGAAGATTTTCAAATCTCTTTTATTTTTCTTATAAGAGAACCTTCTCTATCTTTAGCATCCTCCTATGCACCTATCAGCCAGACACAGAAATTTATTTCTCAGTTAATCCTATCTTTTAACACTTTTCTCATCATTAAAAGAAACCAGGTGAGGCTTAATAGAATTATAGGCTTACTTTTTGCCATTATATCTGCTGATAAAAGGCTCAGAGTTTTTTGGAACCTGAAATCATCATAAGTAACTTAACAGAGTCAACATTTGACAACTGAAAAGGCAGCACAAGCACAAAACATACTGACTGCACAGCACGAGCTGTTCACCTCGAAAACTTCGCCTAGGCGTTGTGTTCTTCAGTGCGACTTTCAGGTCGATTGCTACACAGCCAGCCAGCCTTTCAGTAAATCATTCCTTGCAGGAGCTCCTTCAAACCAGGCTATGTATTTGAATATGAGATAAATGTGTCTCCAGGTTCACTGATAGTATCTGCACTACATTAATACCTGTGTATTACAATCTTGTACCCAAGCAACGAATTCATCAAGATCTGAACAAACCCCAGAATATCCTGTCCAAGGACAGACTCTTCTTTAACTTTTTTTAAAGCTTTCGTAAGTGACAGGGGGATGTAGCCAAAATTATAGATGCACCTCCTTGGACTCATTCAAAACCAATAATGAATGTAAACAAGAGAAGAAATAGACAAAATGCAGTTTTGATAATTTCCAGTGACAGAGCAGTTTAGAAACATAAACCACTAAACAATCATGCCTTTTAGAAATATCCATCACAGTGGAATTATTTCCAGTATAAATTCCTGCAAAAACACGGTTTAAAGACAAAGTCCGTCAATCTTCCCGGTCCAAGGCAGCATTCCTATGCACCAGGCGTGTTCCAGGATTAATTTTGAACTAGCTAGTGTGAGCACCAAAAGCGGCACAGAAACAGCAGCTTGGGCTTCAGCCACTGACTGTCTGTGCAGGCTCGGAATAAACCTGCGTGCCATAAAGTTTCTGTTTTTTCTGAATCTGCTGTTTTGGCAGCTCTGGTCAGTGAAATTTTTAGTTTTCAGTTTGGTGTGCTCTGAAGGACTGACCGCTTGAAATTGTTTAGCTGCCATCCAAAAGGTTTATCAGAAGAAAAAGTTCAGGGCACAACTGTTTGTCTTTAGAAGATGCTAATCCACCCATGCAGCAGCGATCTACAGCAGCACATTTTATAAATAGTGGCTAAGAGCAAAACCACTGTCAGTTTGAACCTGTGGGTGGCATCTGTACCCGTGCCAGTTCCTGCCAATTAGCTGAACTGCGGGGATTTGCATTGGCTCCTCGCCCTCTCCTTCTTGCAGATGCAAAACTCACAACAGGATGGGTATGTAAAGCGAATTTCTGACTGAGTACAGTCTCTGTTGTTAGAAAAGGCTCACCACACCTCTCCTGTACACCGCAGCACTAGCAGCCTATTTCATTTCCCTTTAGAGCAATTAGTAGTCCCTGAACTGGCACAGCAGTGAGAGCCAACCCAATGCATGTCCCAGCCCCAAGGGGATGAGATAAAGGCTGTCCACAGCTCTCCTTGACTGCAGGTCACTTGATGGGATTCTCTGTTTTCTAGATTGAGCTCTGATGTCAGTAGTTTCTGTCTTGCTTCTTACCTTTCTGCCAACATGAGTGTGCAGAACATAATTTTTAAAAGTCGCTAGGCATGCAAGAGAAGGAGATGAGCGAGTCCTGGAGAGACCGCTTCAAGGCTCGGGAGCTGTCGCTGCAAGTACGCACCCACAGGTTTCCATCTCTGCCTGAAAAGGAGCTCATCATATTGTCTCGTATTTTTGGATCACAGGTCCTCTGGTTGTTTTTGCTGGAATTAAAGATCTGAAACTTATGAAGACAACCCAGTCTGGATTTGAAGGCTTCTATAAGGATGAATACACCACACTTCCTGAAAGGAAGGACAGGATTTTATGTGGAGAGCTCTTCTGCAAATGGTCATATGGCGAATGCAAGGATTTTGACTTTGACTGCATATGGTATACATCAAATCAAGTCATATTTATTACCTAATCTATGATCCCAAAGCCCCTCTGGACAACAGAGCGGGTGTAAGGGCCAGGGCTGCAGCTGCTGTGCACCAGCCGCTCCCACAGACCCCCGTGGCCGTGCACACCCTTGTGCTGAGCAAGCACCTGGGGGGGAGGCAGAGGCACGCCTTGGGGCACGCCGCTCGCTGACGCGCGGGTCCGTGTTCAGTACAGAACGCTGTGGGAGAACAAACTGCTTGGTTAAATACTTTTAGCAAAACATCTATTTGTGAATTATAGAGCTGGGGGGGGCAGGGGGTAGAATTTGGAGGTGATGGGACAAAGAAATTGTTCCGTAAAATCCCATGTGCTGCGTATTTGTCAAAAAGACAGAGAAAATAAATAAAAAAAAAAATTCCACAGTAAAACGTTATGGATCTAGACAGAGACAGCTGATTCAAGTTTTTATAAGAACCTGTATTACCTCTAGGAACAAAATCCGTGAATGTATCCTTGAAGCCTTTTCTGGGCCACCTGACTGTGGGGAATATTCACCTTCTTACCAGAAAACTGTCAACAGTATCCAGATGCTCGTCCTTTCCAAAGTGTCACAGGTATCTTCTTTCCTCCTGCTGATGTTTTACTTAAACAATAGGGAATGTTAATCAGACCACTGAGAAGACCAAAGTGAGCCTACTATTTCCTCTGGCAGTTCTAAGTAAGGCTGGAAACAGTTTGGCTACATGGTCTGAAAAAAATACGAACACACTCAGAAGTTCATATGCTGCTTCCCAGCTGCGAACACAATGGGGGGGAATATCACTCAGTGCTTGGCAGGACATGAGTAAAAGTGAAAGGGGTGCTACAAGATTGTCTACACGTTCAATAGATTGCGTTTGACCAACTGTACATATAGGGGAGGTGGGGGATTGCGTTGCTTTTCTTTACAGTGAGTGAAGAGACTGCCAGGCTGCTGGCTGAAAAGGTGCCACAATTCATTGTCTCACCCCTTTTCATGGTTTCAGGTACAGGTCATAGAAGTCGTCTTGAACAACACTTTTTACAATGTCGTAGACATGAAGAATCTAGGCTTGACGAACGACAAAGAAGTAAGTAAATGCTCCAAACACAACTTGCCTGGACTCTTTAGAAAAACTCAGCCTTAAAGCATAGCAGCAGTTCTGCACAGCACAGAGTTGAAGGGAGCAAACTTTCTCCCCCAGCCCCAGTGAAAGCTCCACCTTCCCTCTCAGAGAGATTTACGCTGATTACAGAAGAAGGAGAATTGCGTTCTTGTGGAGGTGATAAAAAGCTAAAGGAGCCCAGTGGAATGCTTTGGAGGTCAAAGGGGTCTGTAACCAAGACTACCTCTGAAAAATCATTCCTATTTTCTCCACTGAGTTTGAGTTTAGTTGTAATGCCAACCTGTGCAGTTTTAACCAAGCGGAATGTCTCATGGCTTCCTTTCACGTAGCCAGGCAGCGTGAAAAGCTAGCCCGCTACGGCTCTTCTTTCCGCTCCGTTGGCAGCACCACGGAGGCCAGGGAGCATCCTTGGTGGAGCAGGGTTACAAGCAGGTTAGCTACACCACAGACTGACCCTCGGGGACCGGAGACCAGCGCTCTAAGGGAGCGGTGAAGGGACGTTTCTGTAGCCATCAGGAGCCAAAGCAGATTGCTCCAACAGTGGCCAAGGTATAAGCCTGGGATCAGGCAGAGGGTGGGAGATGTAGGGAATGAGATATATTTGCTCTTCCCTCCACAGCTGCTCTAGGTGACAGCCAGGTCCAGCTGAAAGTCTGTTCTGTTATCCTCACGTGAGAGAGAAACGGGGTTTCTCCTTTTTGCATCAATGGTCTATAGTCTGTTTATCCTCTACGCTCCCTCCCTAAGACTTGTGACTGCTGCCACCCTACCCTACCCTTGCCCTCTTTCAGGTGGACATTATAGATCCACTTTCCCTTGAGGTAACAGCCACTTCTACCACTGATGTTCATAAGAGAAGGAAAGGGCCTGGGTGTGATTTTATGGGGAGGTGAATAGCTGCAGCCTCTGCTGTGATGGTACTGGCTCATCCCTGTCTCAGAAATGACCTCTGTGTTTGTGCTCATCCCCCTCAGGTTCTGGTTCCAGTGGAAACTCCCTACGGCTCCTGCGCTTGCACGCTTGGCAGGAAGAAGTTCTTAGAAGCACAAGGCCATGTTCTAAAAGACGAGAGGCAAAGTCAGTTTGGACTGGCAACTGCCCAGGGAAACTAAACCTCTTGGCTACACTCACACCTTCCTGATAACAGTATGGCTTTCCTATCAACGTATACTCCTTATTGGCCTCTTCCATTGCTGACTACGTTTCCCTCTATGAACTCCTGAGGTTGGGACTTCTGAAGGACCCTCAGGAATTCAGAAATCAAAGTCTGCCCCTGAATCTCAGTGTGATTTGCAGATTGAAATCCCCTACACTCTTTTGAAAATCCCAGCTGGAAACATTATAGTCAATTAATTTTTAAACCAGCTATTCCCAGGCCTCTTAATGAAACAATTAATTCGATAATGCCTGTAACATGTTTTTCACATGTAAAATCAGCAACTCTGTATATTCTATTTATTAATGTTCCTTCAGTAAACTGAATATACAGGCACGAGACCAGATGTTTCACTGACGTCACCTGTCATGACCCCTCGATGCCACACTGATCTACAGAGCTGAGGTTCTGACCCAGTCACTGAATAGGGAATCAGTCAGACACTGATTTCTTTGTGAAGGAAATGGAAAAAAAAAAAAAAAAAAAGTATCTCTCATATCTCCTTTGTGGTGTGAATAGTTGCAGCTGTTGACTAATATCTCTGCATGTATTCTGACTGCATGGCTGCTGCTGCTACTCATTGGGCTATACAGTTACTATATAATTACTTTTATATTAATCACTGAGGTGTTTGAGGTTTTGGGCTATCTCTGTAAGTTTAATTAAATAGTTTTCTTTAGTCTAATAATCTCATCATGACTTCTGAGCAGGCAGGAGTCAACTTAAGTAACACTATTACTTTTGGGAGCGGTAAGAAGACAGCTAGGCAGACAATGCGTATCTGACTTTAGTTACCCCAGGTGATCGCTTTGGACATAGAGATGGAACTATACACCCAACAACTCTCCTCTCGCAAACCGCGGCTACCACACTTGCAACAGAAGTCCTGCTCAACTTCTGACAGCTTCTAACTGCTGCTCTCATTTTCTCCGAGCGTCATTTTCACAGACTCCATGTGACAGAGTGCAAATCCAGTGGGAAGCGCCCAAAGTTACTCCTGAAAACTACAATTCAGTTGCCTTTGTGCCTTCTCAGATTGGCAGACCTGCAGGGCACAATCATTAAACTCATAGACACCAAAACCGAGGAGCATGTCTGGCACCAGGTGCTGTTTTGAGGTGCTTTGCAAGATAGGAACTTGCCTCGGTGAGCGGGACGTAACAGTTGCGAAGGGAAGACGCTGCGCACAGGCCCGAGAGATCTCCTGGAAAACAACAGGACAAATGACACCACAGGGTGAAGCCGTCCCAGATAGGCTGTTCTCTGCTCACTAGCCAGCTCTGAAAGTTTCATTTACAACATTTTAGCTTTTGCCGGGGTCATTCCTTCTTACCTTGTTAGATTGTGTTGTATTGTACTTGTGGGCTTATGTCTTGCTATTTCTGCTATTTTTAGGTGCTTGTAATTTATTAATGTATCTTTTAAGGGCAAATAAAGAGCAACATCAAAAACCAAACTAGTATTTGAATATTTACCAAATAAGAAATGAAACCATTTACTACTTATATGTAAATGCAAACATTGTAAGTAAAAGAATTACGTTTTAGTTCAGCCGATTTTACCTCACTCTTGTTCCAAATGACAGTTGACTACCAATAGATGGAAAAAATAGATGAAAAAGGATCTTACTGAACACTTCAGCATTTACCTGTTTCTAAACAAGGCAGATCTTCACAACCCACTTCTTTCTACCTTGTGAGAAATTTATTGCATTAGGTGGAAGGTTTCCTTTGTGACTATTTGTGCTTCATTTGTGGGCTTGTAAGGTAGTAGAGGACTAACCTTCATGGCAGAATGAGGACACAAAGCAGCAAGCAGCTGTTTATTTAGATTTTCCCATGGCAACAAGCACACATGTACACTCATGCAATGTGGTTTCTATAAACCTCCACAGACATGCAGACATTCAGCAAGTCTTTAAAGGCATCTCGGCACAGCTCCATGCAGCACTGCAAACCTGAGTCACTTACGTGGGCAGATTGCTTCTAAAGAAAGTACTTAGGCAATCGGAAGTAGCCCACCCAAATGTTCCATATAGCAATTAGATTCAGATAACAATGGCATAAATCATTCTTGACAATGGGACCCAGCCAGACTTACTTGGGCCTGAAACCTGACCAAATTCCCATTGGCTTCATTAGATTCAGTCTCCACAATGGACTGGCATTATTTTAATTGAGAGAGAGAATTTTATTCAGTTCCTGTCCTGAGGAGCTATTCAAGTTGCTTACTGTGTTTTATGCAGAGGCAGCTGTGATGCTTTGCTGATGAAATCACACTTGACGAAAATGAGCAGCAGCTAGCAGATCATAAAATTGCCATTTAAAATGCATCTTCTTGCTGAAAACATGAACGTTGCTGGTCCTGGGCTATACCCAGGAGTTTGTAGGGCCTGGAGCCTCCTACCAAGAAACAGGGTATTTCAAGTGCATAAACATCTTACTATCATTTTAGCATCTGATTCTTTCACATCCTGTTTCTGTTAAATTCTGATAGCTGCCCTGGACAGTCCAACCACAATCCTCAGCTGCTGATCATGGTCCATGCGCAACCAACGTCACGTAGATAAAATGCACTAGTTAAACTCATTAGTCAACATCTAAAACAGAGACGAAATGTCGCCATCAGGGTCAGTACAAATGATCTGTCTTCACGGGCTGTATTATCCTACATGTATTCAAGGCTACCTGCTTTCCAACACACATTTAAACCTGTCAGTTTTTAATAACTACTACAGCTTTTTTTTTTTTTCTTCTTTAAAGTTGTCTTTTTAAATCTTGTTTTTATCAGGAGTACAGAATCCTGATTCTAAGTTGAACTGTGCTGACTTAAAGTGACGAAAAAACCCCTTTCTGGCTAGAAATCTCAATATAAATACTTTTGAAGTTAGAATACCACTATATTTGTGTACATAAAACAGCCAGTCATCTTCTTCCTGGAAACTGCACAGCTGTATCTAGAAAGGAAACCTATTAAATGTCTCCAGTGATAGGATCAAAAATGTCAACTCACATCTCAGCTATAATTAGGATATAAAATGCTTTCTGATTCTGAGATTGACCCTTACCATTCATAGCAGGCTGAGAAGGAAAAGACACACATGTACCTGAGTGCATGCACACACACCTAGTCCCATAACTATAGATATATATATTAAAAATATATATGTATAAATGGCACTTACTAGATCAGCTGGTGTATGACTGATCTATGGCAATCAAATAAGAAACAATACAAGCTGGGGTTTAGTTGTTACATAGTTTTATTACGGACTTACAAACTCCCAGCTGCATTGAGTTGAAGCCTGCCATGTTCCCTTCAAGATCCATCCCAAATGACACACCAGGACAGCAGCTCACCTCTGCCAGGCTCACAAAAACACCGGCTGTGGAGAGAAGCAGGAAAGGGGCACAGACCCTGTTGCTGCCTGCCAGGGAGAGTTGGAGAAGTACTTCACAGACCTGGGGACAGAAGCCAGTGTAATCATTCAGTCCCGTTAGCTGACCATAGCAGGTCAGGTATTGCTGCAACGAAATGCTTGCTGTGGGGACAGGCATTGGTAGCCCAGGCCCTGATGGATGCACAGGGGAGCCAGCCTGGAATGGGAACAGAAGGTAGCAGAGGCAAGAGAGACTAGAAGACAAGCAGGAAGGGGGGTGGAGGGAGGAGGGGGGAGAAATACAGTGATAGTAAAAACTATCAGACAAACATCAGACAAATCAAAGAAGGGAGACAACAGAAAATAAAAAAAAAAAATTAGCGAGGACAAGTATCTCTCGTATCTGACTACTTCAGAGCTGAAAACAAAAACCCCAAACAATATCAGAGGGACTCAAAACTAGAAAAATAAGGGGGTAGAGAAGCCTTTGGTACAGAGGGAAATGTAACAGCAGAATCCAGAGCGCCTGAGTACTGAGGGGGGCTCTGCCACCTCTCGGGAGTGGCACAAGGCATGCATTCCCACATCCACAGCTGACTGGAAAAGCTCAAGTTTTAATGGCCTTGTACTCCTGCAATGTTTCCAAATCTTCTAGATTACACACATTTCCAGGTAGAGAAGCCCAGGCAAACTAGCAGGTGGTATTTATATGGAAGGGAGGAGGGAGTAGAAGAGGAGTATGCTTGCAAAACAGGGTTGCTACGCCCAAGCACACAGCCATTTCCACACTTCTCCCTACGGTTTGGCCACCAGCTGGGAGACAAACACAGCTACAAGTTCCTTATTCCTTACTTCCTTCCTCCTGCCGCGATGTACCCTTACAAGACAAAGCAATGTTACTCTTGAATCAGAGATCAGTGCAAACGATGAGCCTTCCCTCTCTCTTTTGATGTGATTTAACTGCTACAGTGTCAGGGGCATCCTCAACATAGCAAGTACTGCAGAGTGTTCGTACAGGGGCAGCTGGATTATAGCAATCATCTGAAAAGGGGAAGAGAACATCTTGAGATGAATGCAAGCCTGCCAATGCCAAGACATTTGTTGTTGCCTTATCAGCAGATCAGCTGATGATACAGCAGTGATAACTGCTGACTGTTCCTTTAACAAAGATGCTCATGAGTGCAGCATATAAATACAACAGTGGTGTCCAGTACTCACCGGCAGCCTTCGTAGCAATGAAACTTTCACATGGAGGCCAAGGGCCACTTACAGTCTTCACGGTGCTCCCCTTGGACTCTCCAGGTGTTTGAGGTTACAGTTGCATTCCCCAAATTTACAGTGTTTACCAGCTAATGTTATTCCAGGAGTAAGTTGAATACACATCTGGGATCCAAAGGAACATCACTAAATCAAACAATTCTCTAATTATAGGGGCTAAGCAAAAAAGAATTTAATGACCTTGTTACATTATTATATTAAAAAGAACACAGCCTTTCCCAACAGGAATGAAAGCTGTTTATTAAATCAGTCTGCCCATTATTCCAATGGAGACTGCCAGTGGGCTAAAGAGAGCCACCACCCTCTGCACCTTCCTCAGGGGGAAGCTGCTGTCAAAACCGAGCAGTGCAGAGGTGAAGGTGCACGGAGACCTTCGGTGTGATGGAACGGGACATGGATGGGCTCTCCTGGCTGACATCCCCAAGCACCAAATCC